AGGGAGTTTTAAAGCGGAAATCAAAACTCAGTTTTTCCATTTTTAATTTCTCCTGAGTTCTGTTGCTAACTATCGGCCACTTCACAATACACTCAATTACAAAAACTCTCAAATGGTGCTTTTCTTTCAAAATCTGGCTATACAGCTTATTTAAATTTATTATTTTACTGTAAGCATACGTACAGACTATATTTGCCACAAAGCGCTCCTTAATAGTCACGTCGATGCAGTTTACCCTTAACATTCTCAAATACTGTTCTAATAGCCCATTTGATTCCTCTATGGACTTACCACCTATTACAATTACCTTACCATTCTGGAAGATCTGGCAGAATGTATGTGACTGGTCTACAAGTCTGATGTTAACTGCGTTGAAATTTTTAACGGTAGCATGTTCCCGAAACTTCTAAAACATGCTGCAGATCAACTTTCTCGTTGAACTGCACCGCCAGAATAATGTTGTGGATATCCATGACTGAACGCATTACTTGCAACAGTGTCAGCAAGAAGGCTTTATATACTTCACTGCTGAGACTGTCGCAAGTAGTGGCGTTTTTCAGCCTTTTTTCATAACAAAAAGGGACTAATAGGAAAAACAAGAATAACAACAGCAACAATTTTATAGTGTTACAAAACGTGAAAAGAGCGGTTAAACAATAAGAGATTGCGCTTTAAAGCTATCATCCAAGATGCGAGCCACATCGATGAATCCCCATGTACGGTAGCTGGAACAGAGCGCCCGGGCTGAAAACCTGATCGTGCGCCCGTACTTTTCGTGCACCTTTAAAGTCAATTCCAGGCAAGCAGGGCCATCAAATTTCATTTTCTCCTGTTTGCCTTCCGATGCTGCGTTGTCCAGTGAATCTTTCAAATGTCCACTCTTCAGGATCTTTAGCAATTCAGTGATTTCATTGTATCCGAATCGGATTCCTTTATTCCATGCTTTACGCAAGCCCTCAGCATCCGCATTTGCTTCGAACACAAGAAATGCCCGTACTTCTTTAGCATTCCAGAACAGGCTTACCACACTATTGACTTTGTACACAGTGTAGCCATCATGATCACCAACAACATCTAAAATGCGTGCGAAATCCATTTTTCTTGAGATATGACAAAAAACTTGCTCTCAACTTTTTTTCAGACTGATTTGGAAAAGGCCAGTCGCGCCGCTTTTATACTCTCCAGCTGTGTCTGAGAAAACCAACCGCTTACCCCATTGGTCGTAAATTCGACAAGACTCCGCCTTTTCACACTCACGTCATTCCAAAACTAAAAATACTTTATTACATCGATGATTGGCTGAAAAATCGACAATAGCTACGCCCTTATATACTGTAGGCTCATACCGATTGGCTAAACCGCAAGTGACGTAGGTCGGAAACCCGAAATTTTTTAAAAATGAGAGCGGTGATTGGTTGTAAATAAAGCAACTTTTTCTATAGAATATTTAAACTCTAGTTGCACTGGAAAATCTATCATTCGCAAGGAAAATGGAGAAGGACCAATTTCGTGGTTGCTTAGTTGGGGGTTTGCTGGGGGAATGCCTGTGCGTTCCCTTGAAGGCGTATCATGGTATTGTTCACAAGGTTGCGCAGTTGTTCGTTGATACACGAGACTACCGCTCTTATCGTGAAGACTGTCTTAACAAACGCGCTGGGTAATGCATTGCTGAATGATGGGGTTATGATGCAGTGTCTGCCGCTCGAGCGTGCGTTGAAGCTTATTACAGCGCACATCCCGTCATACGTTCCGCTTTCGGGAAGCTTAAGGATATAATACATCACTGGAAGTGGAGCAATTACAACACCTTTGACACATTACCGAAAACATTGTACCGAAAACGTTCCTCAAGGATACGGCCCAGCTGCGTGGATTTCAGCGTACCCACTATACTTTAGACATCAGACAGAGCTGATGATCCGCAACGTTCGTAGCGTTGCCGAACTCACACATCCCGCAATGGAAGCTTACGGAGCATGTGAACTTCAAGCCTACGCTATTGCTGTAGCATTACAATACCCTACTTTACTCCAGACCAGTTTCTGGACATGCTAATCACGCTGTGTGACTCCGGCATTAACCTTCAGCTGTATCAACCAAAACTAGTACATTTAAAAACGCTGCTGTCTGAAGAAACGAGTGTTGTGGTGAAAGCCCTTGGTAATGATTCCGCGGGACTGGAAGCTGTACCTATGGCTATTTACTGCGTACTAAAAGGAACCAGTCTAGCGCCTGAAAATGCTTTTGAAGCGACCATGGCGCTTACAATACGGGTTGGTGGATGCACTGACGGAATTGCAACCTTGGCGGGTGCTATTGCCGGAGCTTGGCACGGTCTCAAAAGTATACCGCAGGCATGGCTCCAACTGTGTGATGGATACAAGAACAGCATTGCTCGCCGACAAACTTGCCGAACACGCCAGCAACACCCTAACCAATCGCGAAATATATGATTTCGGCAATTACGACACTTTAGAGTCACGATTGGAATCGTTCAAAGGATGGCCACATCTAAAACCCTCACCCATGGAACTAGCTGGAGATGGATTTTTCATTTTGGCACACAAGATTGTGTTCAGTGTTATTACTGCAACTGTAAACTTAGAGATTTTGAGCCTCTCTCTGATCCCCGTTGGGATCATTTATGTAAGAAGCACAACTGTCCTGCCTCCAATGGTCCTGATAATTTATATTTTCACTTGTAAATACCATAAAATAAAATGTCATGAATAAATAAAAGAGGGTGGGGAAAAATAAACCAAAGAAAAGGGACAATCGGCTCCAGTCCGGTGCAAACCGGCTGAAAACCGAACCGATCACGAGCCGAACCGCGGACCAGTCGAAAACCGGACCGATTCGGAGCTGACGCTAAACTAGCGCTATATCTTCTCGCATTGCACATATTCACCAGCCATCCGGGTTGGCGCAGGAAGTTGCATCCCAGCACGCACTCGTATCCCTCGTTGCTGACATTGTCAAAACACAAAAAAGCCACCGGCAGCTGGTTTGCTACTGCAACATCGAGTACGATCTTACCGTTGTACGGATCGTACTCCCATCACTATTCCACCGGCATCATCAGTGGATCCGGCATGACATCCAGCACCGCTCCAAAACTCGATTCTGGCAGGGGTTGGCACCAGTGTCCACCAAGGCACGTGCTGGCCTGTCCATTCAAGGCTCATCCACGCACATGTGCGTTCCGAGCCACAGCGTGACGACCTTCACCCATCGCCAGACGTACGCATCATCGTGTAAAGAGGGCGCTTTCGAGAATCTTTTCCCACAATCCGAAGGAGTCCTTGCCAATCTCGCTAACGTATGGTAACCGTCACCGTCGGCGGACGCAACGTCTTACCGCAATGAAATTGGACATCCACATCAGATCAATTCATCTGCATCCTCCGCTTTGACTAGCAGTAAATTATTGTCCCGCACACCGACACTGACTGTACTAACCGTTGGTATGCCGGCCTCCGTTTGCGTGCTTGAATGCCGTGCATCTCCGTTAACTGTAGCAGTGCTGTCCAGCTGATCCGCCGGTGCGCGGTTCTGAACTGAGTCGGCATAAATGCTGATGGTATCGCTAGAATCATCCGATGACTGACCTTCGTCCTCCATTTCGGCCTGGTACACGCGCAGCTCATGCGCCGCAGTAGTGTCCAAAGGTCGGCTTCGGAATGGCGTGCATTCAATACAGCCAGGACACGTACCTGCTGACAACGCAACCAGGTATCCAGTCTATCATACGGTACACATACCGCGTTTATACGCCACTGGCCGGCATCCGCCCGGACGCCTTAGCGGCCAGCGTGGCTGCCGCTTCCAGTCTGGTCACGTCCGTGCCTATACGGTCAATGCACTTCCGCGCATCATCCGGGTCCGCCACCTCGGCGCAGCTCCTTGGCATCCTTTGCCCGCTTCGGACAATCCCGAAGCAAGTGATCCGTTGATCCGCAGTTCCAGCAGGACTTACTTATCTTGCGTGGTGTGGTCAATGCGCGTTTCCGGGTGCATTGCCGGTTTTGATACGTCGCTGTGGTTGGAATCAGCAGCAATTTAGCAAGTATGAAATTCTGGCTTACCGCCACTTCGACGGAAATGGTTGTTAGCACGCTGATCCGCCGCCTGCTGTCGCTGGTTGGCTTGCTCCTCTCTCGCCGCAAGACTGCGCCGCCTTCTGCAGGTCCGCGAAGAATCCCTGAGGCGTCTTGGCTGCGGAGTGACGAAGCATCTTGTCGATCTCCCGGGTAAGGAAAGTCCGTTCCGCAGCTTCAGCAGGACATCCAAATCGTCCATTTTGGTGTCGTATTCGTAACATAGGTCAACCATGTCGTTATAATAGTCTTCAACGGATTCGTTCTTTTGCCGTTGACTGATCTTCAGCTTCGTCTGCAACTTCCAATCTTCCGTAGAGGAGAGCGTGCCAGGAGGGCGTCTTGAAGGCCTTCCAGTCGTGTAGGGCTTCATCCCGTCCTCCGACGTTGTTGTACCACTGACCCGCGTGGCCAGTCAAGTACACAGGACTTGCGTCAGTTGCTTCACATCGTCCCACTCCAACGCCTGCGCAACCGTCCGGGAACCTACGAACCCACTGCGCAACGTTCTCACCGGCTTTCCCGGTGAACACCAGCGGTCACGTCCGTCATACGGCCTAGCGATCCCCATCACGTCCTTGGCTCTGTTCACGAAATGCCGGAGCCTGCCGTCCACCACAATGCGTCCGGCTTCGACATCGTAGTCTCCTAGTCGGCAAGTCGTCCACAACCGGTTTTATCTTCGTCGTCAGAAATAAGTTGCCCAGGGAGTCAATCTCCCCTTTACTGACATAAGACTACCACCACGAAACGAACGTACTAAAGGTAACGGTATCAAAAAGGTTTTCGGCACCAAATGTTACGCTTACACTATCCGTAAGGCGTAATGAATATGCCGAAAACCTATTTTCTGACGACGAAGATAAACCGGTTGTGGACGACTTGCCGACTAGGGAGACTACGATGTCGAAGCCGGACGTATCAGGTGGACGGCAGGCTCCGGCATTTTCTGTGAATGCCCGAGAGCTGGCGGACGTGATGGGATCGCTAGCCGTGGCGACGGACGTGCGACTGCCGGTGTTCACCGGGAAAGCCGGTGAGAACGTTGCGCAGTGGGTTCGTAGGTTCCGGACGGTTGCGCAGGCGTTGGAGTGGGACGATGTGAAGCAACTGACGCAAGTCCCTGTGTACTTGACTGGCCACGCGGGTCAGTGGTACAACAACGTGTCGGAGGACGGGATGAAGCCCTACACGACGTGGAAGGCCTTCAAGGACGCCCTCCTGGCACGCTTCCTCACGGAAGATTGGAAGTTGCAGTTGAAGCTGAAGATCAGTCAACGTAAGTTACAAAAGAACGAATCCGTTGAAGACTATTATAACGACATGGTTGACCTATGTTACGAATACGACACCAAAATGGACGATTTGGATGTCCTGCTGAAGCTGCGGAACGGACTTTACCCGGAGATCGACAAGATGCTCGTCACCTCCGCAGCCAAGACGCCTCAGGGATTCTTCGCGGACCTGCAGAAGGCGGCGCAGTCCTTGCGGCGAGAGGAGCAAGCCAACCAGCGACAGCAGGCGGCGGATCAGCGTGCCAACAACCATTTCCGTCGAAGTGGCGGTAAGCCAGAATTTCATACTAAGTTAACCGCTGCTGATTCCAACCACAGCGACGCATCAAAACCGGCACGCACCGGAAACGCATTGACCACACCACGTAAAGATAAGTCCTGCTGGAACTGCGGATCAACGGATCACTTGCTTCGGGATTGTCCGAAGCGGGCAAAGGATGCCAAGGGAGCTGCGCCGAGGGCGGGACTCCGGATGATGCGCGGAAGCGCATTGGACCGTAGGCACGGACGACCAGACACTGGAAGCGGCAGCCACGCTGGCCGCTATGTCCGGGGCGGATGCCGGCTGTGCGGCGTATGGGCAACGGTGCGGGTATGTGTACCGTATGATAGACGGATACCCGGTTGCGTTGTCAGCAGGTACGTGTCCTGGCTGTATTGAATGCACGCCATTCCAAAGTATTTGGATACCGCGCATGAGCTGCGCGTGTACCAGGCCGAAATGGAGGACGAAGGTCAGTCATCGGATGATTCTAGCGATACCATCAGCATTTATGCCGACTCAGTCTGTGAACCGCGCAATCGGCGTGGATCAGCTGACAGCACTGCTACAGTTAACGGAGATGCAGCACGCAAACGGAGGCCGGCATACCAACGGTCAGTACAGTGTCGGTGTGCTAATAATTTACTGCTAGTCAAAGCGGAGGATGCAGATGAATTGATCGATGTGGATGTCCAATTTTGCGGTAAGACGTTGCGTCCGCTTCGGGACGGTGATTTGTTACCATACAAGTATGAGATTGGCAAGGACTCCTTCGGATTGTGGGAAAAGATTTCGCTTTGATGCGTGCACGATACGGCGCGATTGCGTCGTCACGTTGTGCTCGGAACGCACATGTGCGTAGATGTGACCTTGAATGGACAGGCTGCACGCCTTCGGTGGACACTGGTGCCAACTCTCCGTTGTGAATCGCGTTCTTGGAGCGAAGCTGGATGTCATGCCGGATCCACTGATGATGCCGGTGGAACTGGTGATGGAGTACGATCCGTACAACGGTAAGATCGTACTCGATGCTGCGGTAGCAAACCAGAAGCTGCCGGTGGCTTTTTGTGTTTTGACAATGTCAGCAACGAGGATACGAGCGTCTGCAACTTCCTGCGCCTGCCCGGATGGCTGGATGGCTGTGCAATGCGGCGCTCTTGTACGTGGGACAGGATGGTACCACGGTCACGCATGGGGGATGTGGTGACACGGTGGTGACGGATACCTGCGGCCACGCCCGGGAGACGGTCATGATGCCGGCGGCGGCCCTGTGCGCCCGGATGACCGCGGATCAGGGACCCATGCTGACGACGCCACGAGTGAATCAGCTTATGAAGTATGGCGATCCGGATGTACCGGAGGATGAGCTGGCGATGTGGGAGTACGATTGGCCACGCCGTCCCGTTTCGGATTTTGACATTAGGGATGATGATACTACCGACGGGGTGAGTCGGATAACTAAGTTGATTGAGAAGTACGGTGACCTTTTTCATACCGAGGGTCGTAAAATGGGTCAGGCTAAGGTAGAGCCGTTCCGTATTGACCTGATGCCGGGTACGAAGCCGAAGTTTCGGAATCAGTACCGGTATGCACCGCCGGAAGTCGCGGAGATTAACCGGCAAATTAGCGCTATGATTGACAAGGGGGTGATTAGACCGTCCCGCAGCGACTGTTCTAGTCCCATTGTTTTAGCGCGAAAGGATCATGGGCGCAGCTGGCGCTTGTGCAATGACGTCAGGGGTGTTAACAGTATAACGATTTCTGATAAGTACCCTCTGCCGCGTGTGGACGATTGTTTGCAGGCGTTGTCTGGCAAACGGTATATCTCCACGTTGGACTTGGTTTCCGGCTACTGGCAGATGCCATTAGCGGAGGAGTCGAAGCCGTTGACAGCCTTCCAGTCGCCAATGGGGTTCTACGAGTACGAGGTACTGTGCTTTGGGCTCAAGAACGCTCCATCGTACTTCCAGCGTACCATGACAACAATCGTGGGGGACCTCATCGTGCGTGGCGTCGTTGCGGTCTACTTGGATGATGTGATCATCGCGACGTTTACGTTGGAGGAGCATGAAGAAGTATTGGAGGCGCTGTTTTCTCGATGTCGGGAGATCGAGTTAATGTTCAAACCGGAGAAGTGTCACTTTCTAAAAGCGACAGTCAACGTACTGGGATTCACGGTAACGCGGGAAGGCGTGGTGGCCGACCCTGAAAAGGTACGTGCCATTACAGATTTTCCGGTTCCCGCAAATCGTACGCCGTACGTGCGTTTCTCGGTCTAACCGGGTATTACCGGCGCTTCATCAAAGACTATGCGGCGCTGGCCTGTCCGCTGTACGAGCTGACGAAGAAGGACGTGCCGTTCGTCTGGGAACAGCTGCAGGAGGGGGCATTCGAGGCGTTGAAGAACCGTCTCGTCTCGTCGCCGGTGCTTGGACACTTTGACGTATCGCGACCGGTGGAGATCCACCCGGACGCCAGTGGATACGCCATCGGAGTGGTCATTCTGCAGCAGGATTGCGACGGTGTCTTGCGTGTGCTGGCTTATGGGAGCCGCCGCTTGAACGCCGCGGAGCGGAACTGCAGCACCACGGAGCGGGAGTGTTTGGGTATCGTCTGGACCGCAGATAAGTTTCGCTACTATCTGTTAGGTCGTGTTGTGACGGTCATCACTGACCACCATAGTTTGTGTTGGTTGGTGAACATTCAGTCTCCCAGTGGTCGCTTGGTCCGTTGGGCACTTCGACTCCAGGAGTTCGACCTGGTGATTCGACACAAGAGCGGAGCGAAGCATGCCGATGGAGCCTGTCTGTCTCGGTACCCACCGGCTAGGGAAACCGGTGTGCTGGCGGTGATGGCGGTACGTGAGGAGACGGGCCCCACCACGCAAGCAATGTTGGATGCACAGTCCACTGACCCTTGGATTCAGGAGGTGATGGAGCAGATGGACTCGGTCAAGAGCGTTCAGAAGGTGTACGCCGTGAAGGACGGGTTGCTCTATCGCGAGTGGAAGAGTCAAGGTGACAAACATTTACTGTTAGCCGTTCCGAAAGCCTTACGTTTTGAGGTGCTGGCGTTTTGCCATGATGACCCGATGGGAGGGCATCTCGGTTTTGCCCGGACCTGGGACCGAGTGCGGAAGCGCTTCTTCTGGCCTCAAGCGATCAACTTTACGGAGCAGTATGTGGCGTCTTGTGCACCATGCCAGGCGCGGAACCGGTTGACGACGAAGGCGGCCGGACCGATCCAGTCGTTCTGTCCGGAGCGGCCGTTCGAGATGTTAGCCATGGATTTCCTGGGGCCGTTGCCCAGATCCAAGCGTGGAAACCAATATATATTGGTAGTGACTGACCTTTTCACTAAATATGTATTGGCAGGCGCATTTCCGGTGCAGAGTGCGATGACGGTGGCGAAATTCTTGGTTTTTGAAGTGTTTCTGCAGCATTCGTTTCCCTTGAGGATCTTGAGCGATCAGGGGACACCGTTTGTAAATCAGCTGACCAGTGACCTTTACAAGGTACTGGAAGTGAAGCGCGTTACGACGAGCGGATATATGCCACAAACCAACGGCTCGTGCGAAAGGTACAATCAGACGCTAGCGCATATGATGTCGAAGTTCATAGACGCTGAGCAGCGCACCTGGGACGAGGTGCTGCCGTTTGTGGTGTTCGCGACAAACACCAGCAAGCATGACACCACGAAAGAGTCGCCATTCAAGTTACTGTACGGGCGGGAGCCGACGCTGCCGGTCGACATCGCGTTCCCGACAGTAGCGGATGCGTTCGTGTATGATGTCGGAGAGAGGATGGAGGCGCTTCACGCGAAGGCGAATGCGCGCATTGAGGGGAAGCAGAACTACCTCTACGCTCACGACGATCACCCGGAAGTGACGTACAAAGACGGGGATTACGTTTTGGTGTTCAACCCTGCCGGAAAGCGCGGTAAGGCGACCAAGTTACTGAGTCGTTTTTATGGGCCCTACCGAGTGCTTAGGCAAACGTCACCCGTGAATTACGAAGTGGAAACTTGCGGGATCCGGAAGCGAAGGAACGTTTTCGTTACCCACGTGTCAAAGATGAAGTTGTTCAAGGATCGCAACGAGATGTTCGTTGACTCCGAGGATGAGGACGGCGAAGGATGGATTCCTGTCGCGCGTCCCAAGCAACTGGTGGACCACAACGAGGTCACGGACACGGTAGCGGCAGAGGAGCCGTCTACCACCCTGATGGGCGCCCCTGATATTGCGGCCCCTGTGGTGCCAGTGGTACAGGCCCCTGTGGTGACTGAGGTAGTGACCACGGCGGAGGCGGAGATGTGCGCGCCGGTGACTCGGGAAAACTCGGAAACGGAACAGCGGCGTTCGGGTCGTGAGCGCAGGGCACCGGACCGGTATGACCCATGCTCTTACAAGCACTTTTACGGCTTGCTGCTGTTGGTGTTGTTGTTTATGCCCTTAGTCGCAGCACTGGAGGTGGCTGTCTGCGACTGCTCTTCACCACGACATGTCGGTGTCGTCAGTTTTGAGCGCTACGAGCAATGCCGGAGCAACATGTCGTCCGTCAAGTTCACCCCGGTCAAGTATGACATCTATACAGAAGATAAAGCCCGGACCGTGTTCAAAGGCTTCAGCTGTCGGGCCTGGGAGGAGACCTTGCACATCGAGGAAGGATTTCTGGGCTGGAGGGACACGACGAAGTCCTCCAAGGAGAAGCCGTTAGCAGCGGGAGATTGTTGGGTCATGGCTAACACGTTCAAATGCGGTGTGAATTCAATGGTGAAGCGTGGTAGTGTTTGGTCTTTTACAGCCGAGCCGAAGGGCGAAGGGGCCTGGTACTCTACGAAGACGTACACTACATACAACTGTGAGCTCGAGGAGTTGACCTTGGAGCAGGAGTGCAAAACGTGCCCAATTATGAGTATCGTCGGTGAGGTAGCGACGGATCGCACCGTAGGCTACGCGATTCTGGCACACCGGACCGTGGTATGGAACGACATTTCGCAAACGCAGAGACCGTGCGAGACGGCTCGGCTGACCAGGCGAGTCGGTCAATTGTATAACGATACAAACGGTGTGATGAGAATCCGCGATACTGCGCGGCAAATGGATTTTGTTCTAGGCGCATTGGCGCGCTTGTACGGACAGACCGGAACAAAGGCATTCCGTGTTGTCGGTGAAACGAGTATGCTGCTGGTGGTACTGACGCGTGCGGAGAAGATCCTGTTCCAGGATTTCAACTACACCGCCGGAGGCAGTGCCTCGGGAGGGGGAGGAAAAGATTCTGCATTTAGAGGCAAAAGGAACTTGCTGGGATTCGCGGGTGGGACACATCCCGGATTTCCGTCGGGATCGTCGCGCACCATAATGCCGTTGCCCGTGACAGTGGCTACTACAACTGTCGGAAGAAAGACGCCGGAGGCGGAAGGCGCAACCACTGAACTCCCGATGACGCTACAACAGTATCTACCTGAGCATCTACAATGGATTATGGACTCGGTGGTGGAGCAGGAGAACCACATTGCAGAAGCTGTTAACGCCGTCGACTGTCGGTTAAGTAGACTTAAAATCGAAAATCTTCATTCACTGTCGAAAGTGAGCGGGATTTTGGCTGCGCGTGCTATGCACTTTACAGAGTGTCAGAGCTTGGAGAGCTTCGGGAGCATGGGAATTTTGCGGCAGTGCCGACCGTTCAACCTAACGTTCGAAGCGCAGAACACCGTCTACTGCGGCGTACAACCTCGTTCAGGAAACTTCACGATTTCTCGCGACGGATTCATGGCGATTAAGTGGCAAGAGTGCTACTGGCAATCGCATACGGTGAACTTCCGGGGGATTCCTCACGTCTGGAGAGACGGAGATTGGCGACCAGTGCAGCCGGTGCAGTATGCTGACCGACAGCTGTTACTCGCGCCTTTCCAGGAGACTGTTGACCTTTCTGGGGCTTTGCTGGAAGCAGCCGCCGAGAAGGAGCATGCGATGACGTTCCAATTGCTGGGCCAGTTGGCCGGTGCGATGGAACATAACGGGGTGGAGAACGTGGAATCGTTCGTCCAGAACGTACAGCAGTCAGCAAGTGTACCTGACCTAATGTCTAAGATACGTTGGTTCAAAACGATGTTCGGGTCGATCACTACGGTCGTAGTGCTAGTGCTGATTGTGCTGGTCATATTTCAGTGTCGTGGACCGATAGCTGGATGCGGAAAGCGGATTTCAAATCGCTTGGCGGAACGGAGACATCGACGTTCGACTGTGGTAGCTGAACCGGTAACTTACGTCAGCGCTCCTGAGGATCCCGGCTATGAAGCGATTAACCCACCGGACAAGGAGGAGGGACGGATTCTTTCCGCTGCACCGTACGAATAACCGTACTTAACGTCTTGAGGGACCTGCGACGTCTGGGAAGGGGGCAATGTTACATAACCGGATTACTCATGTGTGCGTTTATCCTATGGTCATAGTCCATGTTTTTGCCTTTCTCATGCCCTTGTGAGCCAGATGTACTGACAATGAGTGATTGTCTGATATTAGGTCGTTTCCCTGGATGTCCTGTTATTTCCGGCTTAGGCCGTTATATAAGCTCATGTTTACTTGTTATTTGTTAGTTCTTAGCTGAGTATTATTAAAGTGGCTAAAACCCGATATTCATTACGCCTTACGGATAGTGTAAGCGTAACAACTGATTGTGATGGCATCGAAGTCCACGTAAAAGTAATCGCCGCTAATATCCTGCGCGTATCCCAGCCACCATTGGCCGGCGTCGCGCTGCACCAACACCGTGTTTCCGTAATTGATCTGCCGTGCATTAGGCAAGTGCAGTTCACGAAAGTAGCGTGGAGTGGCGTTCATGGCGACGAGAAAGCGTATGACAAGCGCTAACGGCCGTCAGTAATTCCTTCCAACACAAATGACCATGCTTCGAATAAGTTTCGTCATTTTTGAGCTATGAAACACCGTTTCGGCTACTGAAGAGCCCGCAAACCAAACGGTGACGTCTTGGCGTCTTGGCGCTCGTAAGATGTCTCGAAAAGTCTGTCTGTCTGGTTCTTTTGGCCGCATGCTGCACGAACATATCATGCATGTATTAATCTACATGAGCAGCGGATTAGGGTGGCTGTTCCATACAACCAAGTTTGACCAAGCAGACAGCGTGGCAGCCTGTGGCTGTCAGCTATCTCTCGTTCTGAAAGTCTTAATGCTTCTTCGTCTTAATGCTTGAAAGTCTTCTTTGTTTTATGTTATGTGATGATTAAAACGCTGGCTGAGAACTAAATGAATAAAAGGTATAGACAGAGTTGCTGCCCATGATCATACAAAGCGCCGACATACCTTAAGGCTTAATAAGCGCTGAGGGAATATTTAGTTTGTACTGATTATAGGATTTCTACGCACATTCCGAAGTATGGTAGTTTATTGTTCGTCTTGTTCCCGTCGCGGATTCGTGTGCAAATCGGACTGGTTGCCATTGGATGTGCTCGTTCTCTATAATGCAGTGATAAGCCTGATTGCCACTCTGCTTTAACAAACTGTTGCCCTTTGCATAGATTGTTTTGCCGGTAACCTTATAATTCGACTGCAGAATTCTGTTTTGGGGGCCAACAGGTGTCGAATCTTTGACTATTCTGGGGGGTTACATGCAGAAGTCAGCTGCATTTCAGTGCCGTTATTAATTTTTCTTAGAATACCGTAAGTTCAGTAGAAACAGCCGTTCCGTTGGGTGACGCAGTTAGGTACGCTAAATCTGCAGCTCCATTCGGATCTCCTTAAGTCCGCCAGAGAAACATGTGTCCGACATGGCGCTACTTTCGCGAGCTGCGTTCCGGTGCGCGGGAGGTGAATTACGGGAACACGGTGCTGGTGCAGCGCGACACGGGCCAATGGTGGTTGGGATACGTTCAGGATATTGACGGTGCTTACTTCTTCGTTGACTTCGATGCCAGCACCGTCGACGCAGAATGGATTCATTTCAACCATCTCTGGCCGCATCGTCTCCTTGATATATTTTCTCTGGGATCCATTTTGCCTGGCACTTCCATGCACGTAGCGCTGCAGGATACAGCCGGCGGACCGTTCGTTTTCCGGCCCGCTGCGTTCATTAAGGAACGATACTGCATGTTTTGCGTTGTTAGCTTGCATGAGCCAAACCATATTACTCCGCTTGAACACCGCCTCGTGCCCGCGTTGCACCTCGCCGCAGTACTGCCGTCACCAAGCGGTGAGGAAGGGTATCTAGAGAAATTTCACGGAATATTGTACAAAAAGCATGTCATCACTTTCGACAAGGCGTATATGCTGCGTGACGTGAATTTTATGCACAAGTTTCTGATTCGCAGTTGCAAGATACTGTTCGGGCCCGGAGACCGGTGCAGTACCAGCTGTCCTCTATTTAAGAATGCTACAACATCCAAATTTTATTTCCGTTGTAATGGACAGTATCATACGGGGCTTCATGGCTGTGAGTTCGACGTCGGCTGTCGTGTGTTTGTGCGAGCGGGAATCGACGGGGTCACATTCATCTGCGCCGAAGTGCACGGTGACGCCGCAGGGCGGAGTCTGTTTTGGGATGAAGTGTCTTTGAGGGTAGCTTGCCAAAGTTACCTCGCCGAGCAACTCTCAAGGGAATCCGCACATCCCGGCAGTATCGTTGTCAGCAACCTGGCAACGGTCCCTGGTCAACAAGGCAGGAGTAACGACGCATTTTTGCCGGGAAACCGACATAGACGGCGGCCTGCATATGTATTTCAATGTTTTGTCATTGCCCCTGACGAACTGTAGGGTCAGAATCCCTGCTGCCGTGCAACAGCGCCCAGCTCGTTCTAGATGAGTTCTTTGTCCTGGCTTATATAATGTTATCTTGGCTCACCAACATTTCGTCGACTAACACTACGTCGAACGACACTTTCCCGAACGCACTTCGTCGACCGTCGAGGGCGACGACCAGAAAACCTAAGAAACCTAAGAAAACTATCAAACCTAAAAACCTAAGAATAAACCTAAGAAAACCTAAAAACCTAAGAGATGATTTAGTAAAACGTTAGTTCGACGTCGTGACGGGTCGACATTGTGTCTGTTCGACGAAGTGACGGTCGACGAATTTTCGTCGACGAAATGGCGGGTCACCGTTATTTCTAAAATACAGATATAATTATTATAAAAATATAGATGTTCCCGGCTCGACTTGCAAGTGTTGTCAGGGCTAACTGGCTATTTTGCAGAAAAGGAAGTAAGGGCCATCTTCGGCCTCCCGATTGTGATCCTTGCCAGCATCTTCTTCGCAATGGATATCATTACGCAGTTACGCATTAGCCAGTAAGTCAGCGCTGCAGACTACGGCAGCAAATATGGAGATATGTTCTTGCTCAAAATCAAGCGTAGACATCATCGAAATGTCAAAACGGACCCAAGTTTTGGTTTGTCAATAGACTTTCTATGTTTTGTGGACAGTTGTACTTGCTCAGATGTTCAGTAGAATTGTGTGGTCAAGGGCTTTCAAGGGACGAAATATGAACATTCGCAGGGTTTGCGCATTATGGAGACTGATTAAGTGCAACTACATGCCGCAGCGTCACAATACCATCACTTTTGTCGTGCCTTCCTGGTTCGCAGCGGAGGACTGGGATGGCTCGATATGTTCTAATTTGGACGCAGTCACCAGTTATAAACTTGCAGTAATGCTGAAACGAAGCGTTTCCCATGCAACACGAGCGCTGGCGGTAGTTTTTGAAGAAAAATCATCGGACGACAGAAGGAGATGTGACCCAGAAGGGATGTGTTTAGAGAGGAAATGGGCGGCGATTTACGATGTACTGAAACAGATGGGCATTCGTTTGCCGCTGATCATCGCCAAGAATTGCTACGAGAGCGCCTCGATGTTGACCGGTTCCCTCTTGAACCTGGCGCCGAGTAAGCGGAGTGGACAGTTTGTGTGCCACAAGCTTCCGGACTGGATGCCCCTGTGCGAACAGTTTGTACTGATTAACTATACCGCAGCCGTTGGGGGTCGTAGCAAAAACTGCTTGCTCATGTCGTGCCAGGAAGGCCGATGGACACGGCCGGATGACGAATGTAAGTTGTTCATGCGATCGCCAGATGTCGATGAAGTTGGCCTGGATGTGGTTATTACGTTCGTGGAGTTCCGCTTCACAGAGGCAGCCGAGGAACTATGTCAACGCTTTATATCTGCGGTCAACGACGGTTGCCCAGCTGTTACACAGCGAGTGCTGGAGAAGGTCGCCGCGGTGCATTCGCGGTGGGTACGGACGTTGGCCTATCCCGGAGAATGGGCGTGGATTCGCAGCTTCTTGCGGGAGTGAGTATGACTCAACGTAGTACCGGTGTTGGTGTGGTGTGAAGTTCAAATGCATGTGCTTTGTGCTTATCAGGCTTAACGGCGTCCGCACAGTCGGTGGTCCGCAGCGCTGGGATGATGTTGATTTGCGACACCTGAATTTGAGAGGGCTGAGCAAGATCACCTTCGCCGTGCTGGATGTATACTTACAGACGAGCACACGCGTGCGCAAATAGCCGGTTAACTCTAACAATAGTAAGATGCTTATGCAAAGCCAATATTTCCTCGCAGTGCCGATTAAACTATAGCAATAAAGACACTCTCACAGCATCGTTTAACATCACATCCCCCCATTTTTTACTCTTACAAGAATACAAACCTTCTTCCAGTACTCGTATTTTGAAAAGCTTTTAATGTGCAGACTGAAACGTACGAAACCAAAGTTAATCAACCTCAGGCGTAGTTCAAATACCGAAAACCTTATGCTCACAAAGTTTATTCGTTAATCAGGTTCGGTAATACGATCAACCAAAGCAAACGCAATTTAAGAAGCACACACACAAGATGATCTGCATAAAGCCATGGATGTCGCGCTGCCACAAAATCATCAACAGTCTGGTTTCACATCTGGCGACGCTGTAGCGCACAGCAACGTTTCAAATACAACAGGTTCATAAGGAGAAGTTATAAACAAAGTCACGATAATTTGCCATCCAATCACTGAATCGGATTAACTGCACTTTACAGCAGTACCAGTTCACCATCATTCCTGATTAGCAGGCTAAAAAGCGTAAGATTTAATTAAAACGCTTAATGAAATCCAGTGCTCGTGCTCGTGTGATTCAGTCTTTGTAACAGGGTTTGTACAGACTTTCTGTACGTTCCAAAAGCTTTGGAGTTTGGCTCACCTTGGGCCAGTAGCACAATGCCACCATTGTCTCGTGGCCTGCTGGTCGCCTCTTTTGTCTACGTCGGTTACTGGTAAATTAACCTGGGGCGTTCGCTGGCAAGCGGGCTGCTGTCTTCGCTCTTCCTATCGCGCCGTTACCCTTAAATTTGGAAATCTGCCCCAGTGAATTGTTGAGCTCTTCGAGTACACGCTTGCACGCTTGTCAGGTGGCGCCGG